GATAATCTGAAGCATCAGTAAAGTCATCACAAAAAGCAAACATAAGGTCAAATTAAACCTGGTCCTCACAAAAGGCAAATCGACGTGAGTGAAGCGCCTTCCCTAAACGATCAGCAGTCAAAAGAAGAGGGTGTTCAGCCTGTAAGGTTTTTAAAGCAATGACAGCAATCAGAAATGTCCCAAGGTGGGCCTCTTCAAAGCTTATATTACCTTTAGAGGAGAAGTTTCTAGATGCAGAAAGACTGGAGATAAATATCTTTACTGAATCATAAAACTGTGCAACGTTAGCCACAAACAAAAGGTGCTAAGTTGTTCTCCCACAGAGTGCGAACAAAGGCGAGAAAAGGAAACTCTAACCCACATTTAAAAAGAAAACTTATGGGTCACTTAAATAGTTATATTTTTTTGTTTGTTTGTTTTTGCTTTTTATAACATCACTGCTACCAACTGTGATTAAATCACCTCTGCAATCTATTTCTCCTGTTTTAAAATTGACATAATATGCACTTTTTTCTATTTTGTGCTTTTTGTTTGCTTGTTTGTTTGTTTTGTTTTTTTGCCAATGCATGAATCTGCATGCTTACTTTTGCCTTTCATTTCTTAATGGCTCACCTGAATTTCCTCACCGAGGGATAATAAAGCATGTTTCTATATTAGACGGTCTTTTGAATATAAATATTATCAGCCAAGTTACTTCCAATGTTCTTATAAAGGAGTAAAGAGCCTGTTTATAATGCTTTAATATTTTTACACCTGTAGTTTCACAAATTTTGTAATCTATAAACATCAATAGCTGCATACTTTATAATTAGAGAAAATGCAAACACAAATTTGCTAAAGTTACATCTTTATAACTGAGTACACCTGCTCTTTAACTGATATATATTGGTGAGATTTCTAATGAACAGTGTGGACAAATGACTCAAACAGAGAGGACACCAAAGCCACAAATGGAAGAAAAGCCACATTTGCATCACCTAAAAGACTGTCAAAGGTCATTGGATGCTCTGCAACAATACAAGGTGTTAGTGGCCTGTTATCAAAAAGTTTTTTTAATTAATTGATCATTTGCAAAGTAGTTGCAAATTAGTTGAAATAATTCTCAAACTTCATAAAAACATGTAGAAAACAGCTTTATCATCCATTTGCCCTCAAAAACTCACATTTTTCTCCACACTGACTGAAGGGCTCATTAGATGTTAATCATGACAGAGATTTGACCCCTTATATATGATCCAATGCCTGTACAAACTGAATTCCCCCATTGAGGGATAATAAAGGATTTATTCTGCTCAGTTTTCATTGAGAAATTTTTTTTGTTACAAATGATGCAAGTTCTTTAATTCCTATAAAGGATTCCACTGTCTGTTTGTATGTCTTGCAATGTATTCTTAAAGCTGCAGTTTTACAAATTTTGTAGCCTGCTAACACTAAAAGCAGCATACATCTTGATCAGACAAATCCCAGTACCAATTTATAGAAGTTTTGTCTTTATGATTTCGTACATCTGCCATTAAAAATATTTGTAGTGGTGAGTTTTTTCAGAAGCAGAATGGACAAAGAGACGAAGAGAACCACAAAGCCTCAAAGCCACAGATGCAAAATAAGCTATCATTGCTTCTTCTGCAAAGATTGTGCAAGGACACCGTTACTGCATTTGGATGTAATAAATGCTTAAACTCAGTTTTAGGGTCTCTAATTTAAAGCAAATGTCATGTCGCTGTTCAGATCATATTTGTGAATATAAAGAAACATTTTCCTCCTGCGTACATGAAAAACTGTCGTAAATCTGTTTGTTTAGGCAATATTAATAATAATTTCTTTACTATGGCATTATGAGGATAAAATATTAGGGGTCCATTACTACTTGCAAATATTTGACTTAATTGAGTCTCTGCAAAGCAGTTTCCAAATTATTCTCAAGCATCAATAAAAATAAATAAATAAAATCACACTAATTGTAATCTCAATACCAAAAAGCCAGCAGCTGCTCTTAAGCCTCGTTGCTATTTAGTTTCCTCCCCTCTGCCAGTTGCTCTGTCTGACCTTTTAACCTTAAACCTGTCATTCTCAAACGGGGTACCAGTGCCCTCTAGTGGTACAAATGGAAGGCTGTTAAATCAAAGGTGAAATGTTGATACTCTAGAAATTTGTTTAATTAAAAAAGTTTAATTTTATAATGGTGAAATTTACTATGCTTTCAAAAAGTGTAATTTATTTTGATTTAATAATTATTTATGTGCTACAGCCTCTTAAGGTGCTATCAGTCAATTAACACAGAGGTACTGTTGCTAACTTTAGACTATTTAGATTGTATTCGCTCCAAACTTTTGCAAATACAGATTCTAGTCAGGGGTAAACAGGAGACATTGGTTTTTTTTAATTATTTACATTTTCCCTTGAAGTGTTTCAAAATTGTTCAGCACAGAGATCTTAAGGGAAACAAATAGATATTCAGTAAAAAAAAAAAAACGATCAAAAGTATTAGAAAATTAGTAAATATGAGAACATTTTATACATTTCTTCCAACATAGTTAATAGATGATCGGGTGTGCTTCCGCAAACTAAAACACTCAATATTTTCAGCAAATCTTCCAGAAGCTTCCTTGGTTGTGGAAATGAAAAAATATCCAAACAAATTGTGTCTAAATGTTTGTATTTTAACTAAAATCAATAAGGCAGATATACATCCTGTCTTTTTTTTAACCCATTAGATCGTCAAAAACTCTATTATGAATGTTTGTACATGTGAAACTTGTGCTTGTGAGAAGAATTAACAAGAATAAAAGAATGAATCACTTAACGTTATGTTTGGGAAAACTTTTACTTACTTCTCATCTCAGTGGTAAAACTTGTCACCTTTGTGTGAACAGTTGTAACTCTGGAAAAGCTCCTTTGCAAAAATGAGATTAACAAACAAGTGAATCCAAACAGGCCCAAGTGAAGATTTCTACACTTAGGGGCTCATTTTCGCTGTAGGTTCTGCTGCTTTAATATTTACAAGTAGGGAATTGCACCTACCTTAGTATTGATAAGTCAGAATGAACAAGATAAATATTCCCTTCAGGAATGTCTTGTGTCTAATGTCTAATCTGGGATAAGGGGAAAACATTGAATGGATGGAAAACACAGATGAAACAGGCCAGTAGATGTGGCCCCCCGAGATCATTGTGGTCTTTTGAAGCTTCATAGTCAGTCGGCCACAGAAGAAGTCATTCAGACTTTGGGAATTGAATTTCTAAATTAAATGAAAGTAAAACTTTACAATATCCGATAATGACCTCTGACAAGCAGCAGTAGGGTCATTGGTCTTGTTACCCAATGTAGGTAAGATGTTGTCCAACAATAACTGATTTAAAAGAGGTTTGACACAAGAAACTGGATATATATAGTCAGCAGCAGTACACTGGAGGCTTGGCTTATACATTACAGCTAATCATTACACTGCACTCAGTTATTCACCCATTCATGCAGACGGTCATGGTCGCAAGCTACTGGTTATAGCTGAATCTTCTGTCTAACTCAATCTCTGAACTCCACATTGATACATTCACAAAAAAAATAAAGTTACCAACTGAAATCAAAGTGCAGTTATCCAAATTTGTGATCCATGTGTTTATTCAATCCAACCCAATTCAGTTGAAAGGTCAGACATTTAGGAGAGTCGATTTCACAAGTAGAAACATGGAGCATAATTTCTGCAGTTGTTGACTTGAGACACTAAGGCAACATCCACATCGGGCCGAATAAATCCCCCACAGTGTAAGGCCCAATTCCAGTCTGATCAGAGTACCACAATGTTTGCCAAATGTACCGAAAAACTTTAAATAAATTGAGCTGCTTCTGAAACATCAATTCTGCAACAAAATCAGAACTCTAATGTCTGCCATTGTTTTAGTTGTGTGCTAAGGGTGACAAGACCAGAACAGAACCTTTTATATTAACATTTTAATTACATATATTTAAAATAAATAAGAGCACATTGGAGACAGGGACTCAGGAGTAGCATGGTGGACAGAGAAAAAAATAAACATACAATTAAAATTAGAAAAACAAACAGGAATCCAAAGAACTGCACACAACGAGAAAAGTGGACAGGAACAAGCCATAAAAGAGGCATGGCAACTAAAGAATCCTGTAAAGAATAATGAAAATAATGGAGCTTAGAATCTGAGGCAGGGCAGTAAAAATGACAAACAAATCAGAAAATCTAAAAAGAGGTAATGATGAAAGGCTGAGGCTGAAGGAAAAGCAGAGCACAGTAGGAACTCATAGAAAACCAGGAGAGTGTTTGATGGAAATACATCTAAACGTCCAAAGAACACTAGAAGGAAGCAAAAACAATATAATAGTAAAACACAATTAAAAAGGAAATACCAAACAATAATTACCTAAGGAAATACATTAAGTGCGGAAAGACCCAAACAATGAATGAATAGCAGCAATTAAATAATTCAAATACACTAAATAGAAATCCAACCTAAACACCTCAGGATTGTGTCATCTGACTACAGACTATAAAGAAAACAAATATACTTATTCCCTGATCTTTTCCATATTCTATAATGTTAAACCAACCTTTTTTTAGCTTATATTCTAAGGACTTTATATCAGAGACCACAGAGTTTGGAATAATTGTAAATTGTTAGCAGCCAATAGTCAGGACTCTTCTCACTCTAATGAATAAGGTGACTGGAGACTCACTATTGATCAGATGGATGCTGAACCACACTAGTTATTACACCATCAATCTCTACCTGATGGATTAGTAGAGGGTGTTTTATTATCATGCAAGTCTTGAGCAGCACAACAGTTCAAGCATTGGGTTCATTATGGTACGTTTATTCAGTGATAAATACATATTTTAGTTCAGTCAATTGTGTTTTTCCAAGCAGATCACAGAAATAAGGAATAAAGATGTTTTAATTTTTTTTTTTTTTTATTCATGCTGATGTTACAGGGAAGAAAGTATTTAAAACAAAAGTATGTTACAAGGCAATCGTTCTTTATACATGGTCTCCTCCTTCTTTAGACGTGGTGTCTCCTTCATAGTGCACAGGTAGACCACCTTTGCAGCTTACTTTAATGTGCATGTTAGTGGAATTACTTCCCTTATAGACACAATTGGGGTAAAAGCTATTTTTATCGAGAATGTCACAAACAACAAGATCAAACTTTCCTTTACTCACTGTGAGAACCCCTCCCTTAATATTATTGTTTTGACCTTTACAAACAGATTTTACATTCTCCTCATTAGCAGAAATAAACGTGTTTCTCTGCTTGCATTTATTGTTAGGATATCGGATACGATTGTCTTCAATCACCGAATTGCAGTTTTCTGGATCCATGTTTTCAAATATGTGCTGTCTTTTGAAGTTCTCATATTGTTCTGATGTGTCTTTTCCTGACACTAACTTGCCGATATTATTTTTGAAGTTGGAGTCGACGGCCTGAAGAGGTTGCAGGAGGCCCAGCAGGCAAAATAGCAGGATCTTCATAGTTATCTGCTGAAGTGGAAAAAGGAGAAAAATGTATTACCTTATTTATCAACTTAAAACAAATGACCTTTTTTCATTTTTTCTCTTTTTTGTGTGTCTTGTCACACACTTTCACAAATGGAGAATTACTGGTTTCACCATAATGATTTCATTTGTATAATTATGGAAAAAAAAATTAAGATTTCAATGCATGGGACTAGGACTGAAAGAAATGAAATGAATTGTATTAATCTTGATTAATCATCAACTAATTCAGAAATTTTATTTGATATACTCATATATACTTATATGCTCTACTCAAGTGGCAGAAAATGTAAGTTTAACTAGTTTAATTTCATAAATAGTTTTATTTAAGGAACAATTTTACCAATATTACAGAGTCAACGTGGTGGCAATGACAGGCCAACACCAACCCAATCTGTTGACCTGTTGAAAGGTTCCTCAATGTTTGTGAAGGCCTCCTTATAATTCTGCTCATAATCATATCAGAGAGCTCCTTTTCTATCTCCACGGCCTCCATTATTCGAGTTCCAGTCATATTTCTGTGGATTACTTTGGGCTTTTCCTAATCCATGATGTGAGTTTTCTCATTTATAATGGTCCATCATATCTAATTTTATGTTTTCATATTCATATACATTTCTTCATGTTTTCATTAACAGTATTCGTCTTTTTGCAGTTTCTTTTTAGCAATCTTCCATCCATAAACAATCAATCAATCTAATAACCCCTACAAAATGTGCCATGTGAACATTTTTCCAAAAAACACAACTAATGTTTTTCTCTTTGTTCATATACTATAGCTAATTGATGGTGACTTACTGATGATTATATAACAACAAGCTAAATAAAATGAAACTGAGATATTTGAGAAATCATTAATAGGACGTGTATGAATGCAATTCAACTAAATATCTGTATGGTAAAGATCCATTAACTGTTGGTGGACTCTACCAGCCAAAGGTAAGTTTATTAAGTAGTTTACTCTTATATTAGGCCTACTGATTTGTGCTGACATATAGAAATAAACTGTATCTTTTATTTCATGCAGTCCAACTAGCTGTAACCATTAGTTATAAAAATAAGAAAATTAAGTATAAGGAAATTATCATCCAGAATTGTAGAACAAATTTCCTTTAATAGGGTAGTGCAGCAACCAGTATGAAGTTTAAAGCATCTGTCCTTAACATTTTTTCCTAGATTACTTTTACTTTTGTATTTTAAGTAGTTTTAAAAATAATACTTTTAGACTCTTATTTGAGTAAATACTTTAAGTTGATAGTATAACTTCGTCAAAGTGTAAACAGTAGGATTTAGACTTCTACTTCAGTAATAAACACTAATACTTTTGACACCTCTGCTTGCAATGCACTATATTTTAAGACCCGACTACAGTTCTACTTGCTTTGTCCTTGTCTGCATGGCTATTGTCTCTGTTTTTTATAAGCACAAGCTGCATGAGGTAGATGTTCCAAAAGAAGTTTTGTTAAATTCAAATTTCACAATACCTGCAACCCTCTAAGTTGTGGGTTGAACTTACCTCACAGATGGAAGTTTCTGTCTCTCAGTGCTTGTTTAGTTGGGGCAAGCTGGGTGGGTTTTCTTTTGATCTTTTCTAAAACATAAAAAAAAACACAAAATAATTGACATTTAAACTTCATAGTGAATTTCTATATGGTTTGAAGTTTTAATCTTTAAAAAGATGTATGGCTACTGTAAGAGTCTCAAACACAGCCATAGGACTATAGAGAAACACAATCATTACAATAGTCTACAACTGGAAAAACAGAGCAGTTGTAAACCTTGCAAAAGCTAACACCACTTCAAAAATGTATATAGTAGGTAAGAAAATGATCCACAACAACAGTTTAGGGTTCATAGTTTAATATTAATAAATGTTAAACTACGATTCCTACACAGGAGAGATCTAAGGGATCCACTGCTAAAATATTCTAAATGACCTTCTAGGACTTTATAAGTTTAATATACCTATAAAGGTGTTAGTGGTATTTATCAAACAAATTAGTGGTAGTGGGATGTCCTGAAGCTGTTTTTCTGCTTTAGTTGCTCAACGACTATCTGTTATCTATTAAATCATAAATTATTTTTTATAAATTGAAAATGTATGTATTGTGTTTGTTTTTTAACTCATCACTTGTTGATGTAATTCTTACCACATGAAACAATAAATGAGCTAGAATAGAATTATTCAGTCCAATAATGGGTAGCTACTTTAAACCAATAGTGTGAGGGATTGCATTCGAGTCAATGAGTCGATGCAATCCACTGGTTTTCCTTAGATAGAAAACTTTTAATCAGTTTGGCTGAACGATCTGGTGAATCGTAAAATGCCTTGAAATTAAATTTTTTGTGAATTGGCGCTATATAAGTAAACTGAATTAAATTCCCAAAATCAATATTTCTAATTTCTTCAAACTTAGCTTTTTTTCATTTCTCACATTTAAAAATTGCCTCTTATCTCCCTTTCTTGCTGGATTAAAAGTCAATACCAGCTTCACAAACACTGGTTACAGCTCTGCTTAAAAAAAAACATAAAGGTTTGAGTTTGCTTTCTGAAAAAGCCAAGAATACACACATTTTTCTACAATCTCACCTAATTACCGTCCATTGTTTTTGATAAGTTTTGATGTCTGTAAAGTAATCATTTTACCTGATTAGCCTTTTTTAATAAGAAGAGGAGATGGAGGAAAAGGAAAGTGTTCCAGAAGTCAACCAGAGATATGATTTTAGCAACAGGAACCCCCTGAAGTGTGTTTCCACTGAGCTTATACATGTATGCCCTCCAGATCATGTATGTCATCCCCTCATCTCACTCTCCACCTCTCTTATACAATGCATAAACATAAAAATGTTAATGACAAAAGTCTAATTTGACGAATTCAGACAGACCCAAACACAAACATTTCACATGTAGTTTAATAACAAAGCCAAGGTGTGAAATAAATGGATATCTTAAACCAACATGCCAGCTACAAGTTTAGAGACCAATCGTTTTATCTTTAGGAAATTAAAAATGCAATTTGTATTACTGAGTTGCAAAATACCTAATGGTGTAGCCTAATTTATACTGGATTTTAAAATGGACAATTGTTCTAAGTAACAACAAATGTGTTCATTTAGCGAAACCTAGGTTTGGTTTAACAAACAAAATAAGTCTTATTGTAAAAAATTAAATACTCAAATACATTGTTCTTTTAAGATCTTTATTGCGGTTTGAAACTTACAGTATAAAAGTGTATTTTTTACCAACCGTCTAATTCTTAACATAGTAATTAAAAGTACCACTATCTGTTTTGCTATTGGTGTCGTGTTAAAACGGCTCACCATCCTGTTGAAATCTGACATGTGTTGCTGTATAAACACGGTCCGGTCAGTCAACCCAATATTAGGCGAGTTTAAGGTTTTTTTTCGCACCATTACATTGTCAAAGAGATGTCCTAATCCACAATTGCATAGGAGGCCAACCTGATGTCAGTGATGGGGCCCATGAGAGGTCAGTGGCCCCTAAGCAACTGCAGTCTCTGCTTACTGATAGTTACCCAATTGGCTGGTATGTATTTTTGGACTTTAACATCGAATCTGGGATAAGAAATCTAAAAAAGAAAAAAAAAAAAGCTTCTGAATGAGTCCATTCATCAGCTTTAGGAGACAGCTGTGGTGTAAACTCATTTTACACCACGGTTAAATGCTCTTTTTTCTACAACAATCAAGGTTTGCTGAATTTAAAGACTCTGATCAGTAACACAGGGACTGATGATAAGTTTTGTTCACTGAAAAAAAAAAAAAAGTTAATATTGTTAATGAATATTGAAGGTTTTAAATTACACGTGATGTAGCGTGGTTTCCCTATACAGGAGGTGGTTTTATCATGTCTTGGCACCTTTGCGTGCAGCACTTTATGTTAGGGACCTTTTTTGGTAGGTAAAAAAGCATATCTGACTGATTTACATAGTGTTTTATTCAAAACATCTCCTGCAGAGAAATGACATTACTTGAGTTTATCGTTTTTACTGATATACCATTTGCATAAACTGTCCTGCTGGTGTTCAATGAGTCTATGAAGATGTGACACAGTGGCTATAGTTATAGTTCATAGTAAGTTCATAGTTTTAAAAGTTGTCCACCCATTCTCTGAATCATGTGCAAGCACAGCATTTGTTAAATGCTGTAGATGTTAGGTATGAGCTTGCATGAAGTTTGAAACTATTCTCATAAAGTCACCTTTAAAGCCTTTGAAGCTATAACATTTATTAATGCAAAATGCAAATGCAATATAGTAAGATAACAGTAATATAAAGCGTGAAATCCATCCCAAATAGATTAAAAATTACTCTAATATATATCAAGTTGATCTTTTCTGTTTCTTTGTGATAAATTATAAAAACTATATAAGCAACGATTACCGTAGGTCTATTATAAATATTCAAAAAGTTGTCAAAGAAGATGTAACTGAAATAGATTTTCTCCTACTGCTTCTGCTCATCCTTTTCATAAAAACTAAAATTAAGAGACTAAATGTATGCAACACTTTTATAGTTATACTTATCAAAGTACATTAGACTTTAGCCAAAGTCACAGAATTACAAAAAGTCATAATAACCAACTAACTTAGGGTTGTTGTACCCAAGGAAAAGGTTGACAGGTAACCCATAACGTTTTGATTGCAAAGTAACTACTCCAGCCACTGACCCAATAGTACTGTTCATTTAATGAAATATTAGGAAATACTTTAAAATGATCAATACTGTTGATAGAGATATATCAGTTTTAAAGTATGATATGAGTTGTGCAAAAGGTAAAATTTTATTATAGGCTATTTAATGTCAGGTGGATTAGAGGTAAAGTAAAATAGTAGTTTCTCATTCTTCACATCTTAGATTTTTTGTTCTGAATACTTAGAGAACTTTGGTCGGGAGACAAAAATGTGACAAAAAATATTTGGTGCTTTAGAACACAGTTGGTAGGAGTCTAATCACATCATAAT